AGTAATTTGTAAAAGTAAGTCACTCTGAAGATCTTATGTAATACTTTTACAATAATTGTAATAGATTTTGAATTATTAATTAAAATTATACTCCATTCATTATAGCATTAGACAGAATGAAAATAAGGTTCTTTTTATGGTATACTTTGTGTCAAAATGTCAACAATCATGTTTATCTTAAGACTCACGGCTAATTTGCTAGATATCCACTTAAATACCAGCTGCTATACTTAACCGTTGTCTTTTAAGCTATATATTAAACAAATTCATGAGTATTTGACAGACTTAAAACATTTAATAATTATAACAATAACAAGTGTTCATCTTAAAGAACCTAAAGAAACAGGGTTAGATAGTTTCGGCACGATTCTCATGTCACTATAACTCTACCAAATTCAAAACGTTGCCTAATCCCTTCAAACGTTTGGGCTTTTTAATTTTGTCAGATTATGATTTATTCATAATAGTCAAAATACGTAATCTGGGATTGTCATTTATTGTGAATGCTACTTTGCCTTTCTTGTTGTTTTGCCATTTTCGGTGATTGAGTAATTACTGTTAAGTTTTGCTAAATTGCGATTCTGGTGCAAGCCCGAGTGGTCTACAACAATTGACATTTGACATTTCAGCAAGTTTTTCCAATATCTTATTTAATAGTCTAATAATATCTGAATAAATTTTATAACAGTAATAATAAAAAAATCATTTTGTTTACCTTTATTTTCTGGGCATAGATATAACAAAATTTTATTCTAATTATATAAACTTACAATTAGAATCAATCAAAACAACAGATAGATAGTTTTATTTCCATGTTGGCTCTCAGTAAAAGATGAATATAGAAAATGCTAGTCTCATCTCACCCCGAAAAAATGTAAAATTGCCCAACTCTTTCAGACTACCTAAAGTTCAAAATTTCAACAAAACTATTATAAATATTTTTTAAATTTATCTTGTAAATAAAATGTTCTGCACTGCTGTACAAAGAGGGAAATTATATGGACTATTCAATCAGTACAGCTTTAAATTATTAAAGCGCAGATTTAACTTTAACGTATTAGCGTTAAATCTGTTATATTACTTTAATTAATTTTCTTATCTGACAACCCTAGTAAGTACCTAAGCAAGTAGTCATTATCATCAACCCTTTTTACGTTTCCACTGCAGGGGCTCAGACCTCCAAGGATGGGCCATGACCCTCCACGCTTGCCCAATACGGATTGGAGGGTATTAACGACTGCGAATGCAGCCGGGACCAACGGTTTAATGTGCCTTCCGAAGCACGGATTAGCTCGAGATAATAATTTTTTGGTCACCACTTATCCACTACGCCACCGAGCTACTCAAGTAAGTAGTGCAATAAGAAAATGTTTCACAACGGCAACAAGAACAAAATCAAAGTCAAAAAATCTTTTTTAAATAAACTTATTAAAAGTATTTTGATTCACCCAATTTTTTTTTTACTACTCTTTCAGGAAACTTTCAAGAGGTTTTCTTATTAATAGAATAAACGAGCAAAAGAATTTTAACAGCTCTAACAAAAGTAAAGACATTCTAATATATTAACCCACAACTAACTTCATTAGACTATGAGGTCACTTTCCATTAAAATTTTAAAAACAATGTATAACAAAATAAGGGCTTTTACGATGTTAATAGACAGCACAATACATAATAGACAGCACAATACTTTTCCTGTGCTTGGAACATCTGATAATGATGACTGGCCAAAAGTGGGAAATAAAGGCTTAAGGCCCTATTGTACATTCTTACGTTCAAACATCCTTACGCTTACGTTCGAAGAAAAAAAAAAACAAGTACAGTTATAAAAAAAATGATCAATAGAATATATCAGTACCTATTTTTGTACATATATTTTATAAAGTTAAATGAACTATACTCGTCGTAAAATCTAAACCTATTTATATTTCTGCGATTTTTTCTGTCGCGACAATTATTGAAATTTGTTTGTTGCAAACAATCGATCATATGTTTAATTTTCATAAAATGATTTTTATTTGGCAAATACATAACCTTAAAATAAAGGTTTTAACTGTTGTAATTTCGTACAACCTTGCCTTAAAGATATTTATTTTAAATGAATACCAAAATCTACTCTAATAACAGAACATGCCAAGATATTTGTCGAACTGGTTGACGGGTTTTTTGCCTTTTAAAAGAACATTCCGACCCGATTACACAATTTACACTTTATTTCTAATGTAATAAGAGTTCCTTAAGTCATGCTGTGTCAGTTCTCACGATTGAATAATAAGTTGTGAATACTAATGTCTTCATTTACAATATTCACTTTGTGATTTGTATAAAATGTTACGTTTATTGTAATTATGGAAAAAAGACTCTTGAATGCGTAATGTTCCAAAAAAGTCGCGTAAACGAATTATAAGCGCCACATTACACGACACATTGAATTTAGTATATGTTTCGATAAGTCTTAATTGTATAATAAAACAACAATGAGAAAGTGATTGTTAGAAACTAGCTGGCAGATGGCATAGTGTATATATAGTTTTTTACTTTTAGTGTATACTTTGATTTTGTGATGAGTAGCTTAAAAATTATTGTTCTGTAACCGACTTATAAACTTGTAAACGTATGTAGTAATATAATATTATATTCATTTTATTTAGCATTTCATTATAAAGTCCTCGCTTTAGTAGTTATCAGTGGTGTTTATTATTTATTTTTAGCATATCACCGTGGCGTTATGGAAGAGTTATTTTTAGTAAACAAATGCATATAGATATATCTTACTTTCTTTTGTTTGATCATGCGCTATATATGTCGCAAACGGTTAACATAAAACTGCAAACGTCGATCAGCTGAGTAACTGCTTTGTTATTCTGCAATAAAATCAGCCGCGAAGTTGATTTTAAGTCATAGAACAGAGCTTCAATGATTTAAAACCTTTATTCCCTTTTGAAGTAATAAAACCTTTTTGATTGTACCTTTATGCTGCAAAAGCGCTGTACGTCGATTTTACTACAAAATACTCTACAGGACTTGCAGAGCGATCGCCTAACTTTCTTGAGCAATTAGTCAATGGCTTTTATTATAGTTTACTGAATTATGTAAGTTAGAATAAATTCAAGAGAAGTTGAATTTAGACCAACAAAGTTATTTTGAAAATTACATCAAAACAAAATGTACGATAAATAAACCAAAATTGATATAATCAGTCACTCCCCTGTAGCTATTTCGTTTCATTTTTCTACTTTGTCGTTTACTTCAATTACAAAAAGTAATGAACATGAATTTACCAGCAATGTTACCAAATTAGTAATTTATCCCAAATTTATCCATCAAACGACATGTCAAAGTAGTAAAATGTAATGAAATATTCGTCATAATATTCGCTGAGATGTCGTATTCTATGACTAGAATCAAGACTGGAGAGTACTAGGCGGTCGCACCCCTGGAGACGACGTTCTACAGAACTACTGTACAAATGCCAACATTTTCAATTTTAAAATGTCTTAGTTAGGGTTAGTTGCACCAATTTAATTTAAAAATAACTAACATCTTAAAGTACCGGTTAAGCAAATAATAACTAGTTATCATTTGGCAATGGTTGGATGACGTTTTCACTTTGACTGTATACTATAACCGCTTAAGTTTTACTGGTTAAAGTTATTGTTGTACTACGCCAACAAGGAAGATGGTGCAACGTATTCCATAGTCAATCTTAAAGTCAGCGTAATAGATATTGTCAAATTTGGCATAAACCTTAATCCAGCTATTATTACGAGTAGAATAATCATAATGCAATTCTTGCAAGAGTTTTGTGTCAGTTTCTAGAATAACCTGCATTGTCTAACATTTATAATTTATGTGTATAATCTATAAAAAATGCACACGTAAGTCGTTTATAAGTAAAAATAAAATAAAGATTCACTCCATTAGACTAATCGAATATTTATTTAATAGGTATTAATCGATATTGGTCGAACTAATGAGCTCATGAGATCGGAGGCGCAATGGTCAGGCCGAACATTCATTCGGGATTAGTTTCGATTGCATCATCCGTTGTTAACACCCGTCAAACTGCACTGGGCTGGTGTGATCGCTCATGGCTCATTCTCCCTATTCGATTCGCTCTCATCCATAGGAAGTTCTGTTCCCCAGCAATAGAGACGTTTATGTATAATCACTGGTGGTGATGATGAAGTTTCTGTTATATTGTCATCATCTAAATGCTTAAATTAGGTACTAAAGCTGAGGCAGACGTATTGGGGCAAGAAAAACAGGGATAATAGGTTATAAGCCACATGCCGGACTGATGCAGATTGGTGAATCCGCCGTAACAAACGCTTTGATCTTCTTTTTGAAGTACGGAGAACTCGATTTAGCTAAGTACTGACCTTTGTGATAGTTACATATAATCTGTAATCAAAGAATGACCATACAACGACGCCATCAGACAGAGAATAAGTACATAAACTACATAGTAATTGTTATCTAATAATAATTATTCATTAGTTAACTAATAACAGATTGAATCACTACAATAATAAAACAAACTGAAACCTCATTTCGCATTTACAAGTGTTCCCTTTGTTTTTATTGATGATTTCCATATTAATGGATACCCATGTGACACCAATAGAATTGAAGGTGCTAGAAAAAAACGTGACTGCAATAAGCTATAGTGTTTAATTAGTTAGAAATTCAAACATAAAAAAGGAAAATCCTAGATTTATTTGTTTATATTTATTTATCATCAATATTATTTCACAATTAGTAAAATACATTTCCAAGCATATTACAAACCACTAAGATTTTAATTTATGTTCTCTAGTTCGCTTTGAGGTATTAAATTATTATTTGGTCATTGTGATCCAGCATATACAGAAGTTACGTTTTTAATTTGCTTTATATTTATATTTTTTCGTGTGCAACTGCTTTTTTACAGACCCATTAAAATATTCTTCCTTGAGAAACTGGTATACAAAGAGATCTTTGACGGGTAGTACTTTGCAATGTTTAAAGTGCTGAACGTAGTTTGTAGCAAACTGCTGCCTGATATTAGGTGAAACGATATGTTTTAAAATTCTTATTTGAAGATTTTTTTTTTTTAAATAGAAATAGAAAAAGCACGTAGTTTACCGCATACACGCTCAACCTGCGGTCCCCAATCAAAAGAGTTTTTGATAATTAATCCAAGGTGTTTATGAGTAACTTCTGTTTCAATCAGTGAACAATTACAGGACAAGTAGCCCGTTTCATGAACGTAACCGTGATCATGAGCAATAACATTTTTTAAATATGTTTTATCTCCCATATGAGCTGATCTTATGTGTAATTATTTGGTTTTGGTTGCGTTTAAAACCAAACCTGAATCATGGTACCGTAAGTTTAAACTATTGAAGTAAGATTGAAGTTTATTTAATGCAACGTTTGGTTCTTTTGCAACAGATATAATACACATATCATCTGCGAACTGATATGATACACAATGTTTGAACACGTAAGTTATTTGTTAACGTAAGCCAGAAAGTGGGGAGGGCCTATAACCAAACCCTGAGCCGTGCTTGTGATATTAAAGTAGTTTAGGTGTATCTGTGGTAAGAATCAAGTGCGTTGCATACTACTCGTACGTTCAGACGAAAACTTCATACAACCTTAACAGGCGTTCACATATTCATGTGACATATCGGCACATGTACCTACGTATATGTCAATAAATTCAAAATCTATATCTTGAATAGATATTCATGTAATATTATTTAAATTATTATAAACGATATAGAAAAAAGTATCTTTACCCTAATTATTGATCAAATCATGATAATTAAATATTTGTTTTTATATAAATAGGAAATATTTTATTGTTTATTTGCATTGAATAGGCTTCGATTCTACCGAACCGATTAAAAAAAATCTTTCTATTAAACTAAGCTATTTCATATGCGGGTGACACAAATTTAGAATTTCAAATTTCTGTTCTCCAAACAGCTCATGTGGATTTAATGTTATCCTTTTCATTCGCAATCTTATACGACATTCGTGCAAATGAACTGAAGTTATGTAAACAAATTCTAATTGTCATCGTCAGTCGTGTCGAATTTAATACACCTTGTCCTTTTGTATCAATCAATATTTTTTTTTTATCTATTAAGTAACTCAACAGCCTTCTTTTTGTTACAAGTTTTTTGGTTTTAACTTGTATAATTAATCTAGCCAATAAGAGAGCTTAATAATTCTCTCATAATCTCTGAAGTGAATTAAACAATACAAACAAATTATTATCATGAGGTATGGTAAAATAGTTCCTTAGGAAGAAACTATTATTGATAATTGGGAAAAAAATATATTTGCGGTACCGGTAATGAATGTAAAAAAATATAATCTGATATTAGTTCGACATATTATTTAAACACAAAACAATGGGTTTTATCAAAAACAAGTAGCTATGTGGAATTCACAAATATTAGTATATTAATTTATGTAGATCTAAAGACAATTATAATAACGACGATTAGTCATTAACTAATGATAAAATACATTATATTAATGACTAATATTCTTTATACGTACGTACGTGTAGAAAAATAACTGACATACCGAAAAAATGGAGATGAAAGAAGTCATGGTGTTTTAGTTGTTATTGAAGATATGTTTTCTTTTTTTCATTTTTTCAAAATTATCTAAATCAAAAACGTTGGTCTGAAATAAATTTATTCCTTTTCTGTCAACGCTACGCTAGTTGTTTTTTTTTCACAGGTCATAACTTTACAATTAAGCCACAATCAATACATTGAAAGGTATACCTAAAAAGTATAAATCCAGTTCAATCGAAGCAAAAATAATCTGATATGTAATGACAATGTGAAAATTCTTTAACAAATATTTGGATTCCTTTTTTCTGTTTTCAATACCTTCACTTCAAATCTAATATTGGACTAGTTTTTTTGCCAACAAATATCAGAAAATAAATTTACCATAATATAAAAAAAGTCATATTCAAGTTGAAATGTCACGATTCTGAGACATTTAGCTAATAATATAACTGGAGTAAAAATTGTCGGCTTAAGATTGTCGTACTCGAAGACCAAACGTGTTATAATTATTTATATGTATACTATTATAGATTCAGGTGGATATGATAATTAAATAAAATATGTATCGTTATGTCCGTTTCGCCCTACGTCACTGAAAGAAACTAAATTTTGTGTGTATTCTATCGTTTCAGATCTACAATGAGTTCAGGTTGGCTGGCCTGGGAGTGTATAGTGTTTGGGGTGTTTGTAGCAGCCACATCATGTATGCCCTTATGGAGGAGAAGGAATCCAAGTGACGCAGGACTCAGCGCAAAGGAAGCATATATCTTCGCTGAAAGTGGAGTCTCTATACTGGCTATGATACTCTCTGTTGGGAGAGGTACACTAGGTGTCCGGTCTTTTTTAGGTAAGTTACTTTTATCAAATCTATATATTCACATTCTTAAATAGTATAATATCGTACAGTAGACATAGTCGCACATTTGCTGATAGTTGCAAATATGATGTTTTAGGATTTTACATAAAAACATAAAATTTTAAATCATAAAATATCTTCTTGGTATTGTTACTTCCAAATGTACGTTTTGTTAGTTCAGCTATGTTATATATAATAGTAACCAAAATTCCTTTACAGTTCAATATACATAAAAGATGACGTGCGTTAGGTTATCGTAAAAGTAATTTTTATTTAATTGATTTGGATTTTAACGTTTAACGCATTAAGTTTATAATGGAATAAAGAAGTTTATTATTTTAGGTAACCTGATGTGATATTGTGTGTCGATGTGTAAGTTATATGTAGCACACATTTGTCTTTCAAAAACCCAAAAACCATACATTTTTATTGCACTTGTGTACTTATTTGTACAGCATTAAGAATTGTTCTATTGACAATTGAAATTCGTTACCTGCCTAAATGAACCGTCTATCAAAGATGTTTTTGGTTCTTGAAATAACAAATTTATTAAACACTTGTATAATTCTATCTCCGGTATCTCGGTTTCATGATGTCACCAAAAAAAGATACGGGTATACCCGGCCATTCAATCGTTATGTTCGACAGTATCGATAAATACTTTGTATCCTTAAATTCATTAATTGCATCATTACTTTTTTAGAGTACCTATAATAAGAGACGATTAGTGGAAAGTCATTAGTGGAATCATTAGAGGTTATAATTTAAATTTTAAGACCATAGATGTATACGATATACCTACACTCAAATAATTAACTCGAATACTAATGTTCTAAAAAATATCAATGTTAAAAATAGTCCAATGGGGAAGTTATGAAAGCGGATAGCTATGCCACATTATAAAAAATGTAATGAGAACTACAGAACACATTAAAACTCTTTTGTTCCGTGGTAGAAATAGTAAATTATACCTACGGAAAAGGTAGCAAATCGGAACACCTAAACTATGAATTATTACAAATTAAGCTTTATGTCATGTCCTTATGTTATATAATTCTGTAACTCGGATAAAAATGGGTATAATAACGTATGGACAGGTGGGTTTTTACAAGATGCATGTTTTTTACCTATTTCCTTTTGTGTTTGATGCATTCATGTGTTGCTAAACGATTTTAGTCATGAGTAAGTACACAAAACAATTAATGAGAACAAGACAATCAATTATGCAACGTATAGTTTGATAGTCGCCAAAAGTTACCGTAAAGATCCTGTCCAGTCTTAGAACTTCTGTTTTTGCTTATGTAACTGTCTCGGTTAAGAGCTATTTTGATATCTTTACCATTTCAAATATCTTTAACACAAAGAATATAAGATAAATTTTGCATTCATAAAACTATTTTGAAAAATATTCTTATTGAAAAATGCTTAAAAAATCCACCTCGCCAAAATTACCACAACTACCACCAAAATCACATTTTCACAAACAGCTATTTAAAATATTGCTAAGATGCGATTTCACTTTAATGAACGTTTTAAGTATTTTTTTTTAATGGCTAGGTCTTAATTTTAATAAACGTTTATAAGTATGGGAGTATACGGTTTTAAATTTTACTGGGAGTATTGCATTTATATAAAACAAGTCACTATAGCTACTGTGTCTGTCCTATGACAATCTTATTTAACCTACACTATGGTGGAATGCTTTGAATGTTAATCAAGGATATTTTCCAGAAGAATTAAAGAAAATGTTTGATTCCGACATAACTTTATAATAGATGTAGCGTACCACCAGTGAGTATAATTGGTCCACTATTATTTTTAGAATATATAAATGACATATACATAATTCAATGTTATGACGATATTATTCTTTTTATTTCAAATAAGTATTTATTTAAGATTACAAAGACAGTATAATCGTAAATTCATTCTTTTTTGGATGGATGCGTTTAGGTTTTACCATACTTCATAACTGGATATCATAAAATTCACCGTCTTATCTTGGTAATATCCATATTTTTTTTTTTCATGAATCTATCTTGCCTTTCATTCTATATTCACGCATTAAACCTATTTCTTTATATTCAGAAGTAATTTGAACCACCAAAAATCTTAATAACCACGTGTTATCAAGCATGACTTAGTTTATAAGAAAGTAGATATTTCACGTGGTGTTAAGATCACATAAGGCTTCATATGTTACTTTCGGATAGTTAAAATATTAGTTCACGTGCTTTCGCACGAGGTAGCAGCAGCAGGTTTTATCAGCTTACCTATGGCGTTGAGGCAATATCAAAACTTAAAATAAAAACAAAACGCGTATAGGATCATTCAGTTATCTGTCTGTTTTCTCACAGCTGGTTTACTCTGAAACACATAAAATGTAGGCTCCACTAGGGGTGGTAAATTTAAATTAAAAAAAAAATGATCTTACTCCCATACTCTCGATTTACGAATACTGATCATAAAATTTTGGTAAAAATATACACAAAATAGTGTAAAGAATATGTCGATATTTAAGTTTAGTGTTATCTGGCGTCGCCATTTTCGAATAAGTTTGTAAGAGCTCTTTTTAAAACAGTGTTATCATGCAACTAAACAATATCAACACAGTTAAGTGAAATTAACGATGATATAATGAATGGATGGTGTAAAGCATATATGATTAAAATAACAATTTTGAATTACATACACAAGAAAATTATAAAAGAAATAAGAAATTTATTGATAAAATAAATAAATAAATAGCTTTAGCCATGGCTATGGTTTTAGCGAGAGAGGGGCGATCGATTCTCAGATTAGCATTCAAAGTAACATATCATGTTCAATTTAAGTACATATCATAGTATTAACATTTGATACGCATATGTGTATAATGGGCGCAAATGTATATAATGGTTGATAATACCTACACAAATTGTGCATGAAATTGTTGATTATATTCAAATTTTATATCAAAAACTTATATTTAAGTAGGAACAATATTATACAGTACTTTGTGTACTTGATATAGATTGTCATCAACATACAGAAAATTTTGCTTGCGTAATTTTTTACTCTGTAACAACCGCATTTGATCTGATCAGTATATCCGAAGATTACTCTCTACCGACAATCAAACTTAGGAAACTTTGTACTAACTAACTTAGAATTTCTTTATAATATTGAATTTAAATACATATTAAAAAAACAAACAGAACGGTGTTCTTCTTAAAAAACTTAGAGTTTAAACATCGTTTATTTTCACATTTATATTTATCTCCAATCTAGTTAAGATTGTAGTATAGAGATCGATGCCCTAGCGGTAACTATCAACAGATGCCATTGTATCTGTTGATAGTTACCGCTAGTCTCATTAGACTAATTCACAAATTTATGATCATGTCCAAAAATCAGTCTCTTGAACTGAAATTTATTGGGTGCTTTCCGAATGGTAAGGCGTAATTCCAGAGTCATTTGGCAGTAAAAGATAAGGAGTAGAAATCGAAACCAGAATGGCGGATAGGACTTTCCAAAGGAAGGCTGTTACATAAGCGAAGATTACTGTCATGAGAGGAACCCAAAAACTGAAACTTAAACTTCAAATACGCTGGGACATGTGGATTGAAAAGAACGTTGATGAGCGCATAGACAACTCTTAAATTCCTACGCTAACGAATAGGAAGCCACTTGAGTTGCTTTGGCAATAATCTCATTATAACTTTGGCGATATGGTCCATAAATAAAGCGAATATAATTGTTGAGAAGGCCGTTCAACTTGTTAAGTAGATTTCATTTATATCAGGATAACAGATACCTCCAATGATAGGCAGGACAAAAGACTGAATGAGCATAACTTAAATATAAGCCAGCCGTAACTTTTATCGCATCTGAATAGAATTTGAAATAGTTACATTTTACCAATGTATACACGGCTGTACGTCAGGTTACCACAATTTGTCAAATATCTGCAACTTGAACTCAACCCTCAGCGTATAAGGTTTATAATCAAGTAGAGACATTTGACAGTTTTGTACAACACGACTGTAATATTATGGATCTACCTGAAGTCAAATATTATTGTATATCTGTCACCATTGAGGTGCGAGGAAGACATTGCTAAAATGCAAGTTGTCGAGATTCTATTGAGATGCGATTATTACGTAAACATTACCAGAATTACCCTATTGATATCAGTCCTTCAAACGGAGAAGAAAACTATTCAAACTCATAACAGTTAATAATTATTTACTGAGGAATGCTAAGTAATAAAAATGCAATAAACTACTTTCGGGCTGTTTATATAACTTACGAGTCAAGGTTTTGCGTATTGATTTTTCAGTAAGATTGTTTTCGTGTGCGTTATCAAGGCATATTTCTTGAGGCAAATAACTCGTGACGTCACAAGAACTATATATGAACATTATACCGTTTTTGGTTTTATTAGCATACTTAGTTTAAAGCTATTGTAGGCAAATTAATTGATTATACTAACAGATAACAATCATAAATACCTTCACATTTTTAGTTTGATGAACCTTTTCTACTAATATTACAAATGGGGATTTTTTCAGTTGGATATTTGTGTTTTTATTATCTTATTTTGCTTAAACGTGAAAGCGGACTTGGAAGATATTTTAATAAGATTTTTATATTATAGTTTTACTAGCTGTTTTCCCATGACTACACATATGTAAATTATAGTTATGTCACCCGCGTATGATGTATTTGATTGTAACCGAAATAATTTTCATATTTTTTTCCCCATTAAACAAATAAATAAAGTTCGCATCTTCTACTTTTATGTTAGTTTCGTGAAACTTCTTTATAGTTTATTTTCTTTTAAGTTGCACCATAGACCAACAAAGATCTACATAGACAGAATGCCAGACAGAAATAACAAACAAAATGTTACTACCATATATTCAATTAATGTTTAAAGAGAAAATACATTCGTGTTTTGTTTTATTATATATATTCATTGCAAAAATTTGATAAGTACATTGAGAAACGTTTACATGTATTCACTAAAGTAGGGAATTCAAAATGTTATTATTATTATTCAAAATTATTCAATATTCTTTATATTTTATTTTAAGATAAATTATAAGTCACAATAAAGATGGTAAAGCATATATTTATATTTCGTGGGCTCTGTGACATACATAGCAAGCTAAATTACCAGAATAATTAGAATTTCGGCACATAATTTTAAACTCTATCAATAATTCACGGAATGAAATAAATTGGAGTTAGACAATTTTAGAGTTCAAATTTTATAATAATCTAATGAAACATAAAAGGTCGCAGCATTGTTTGCTGAGTGGATATCCTATTAAAAATTTGTAGAACGTGGTTTTGTTTTCTATCTATATGAGATATAATTTTCCTAAGCGTCATGTTTCTGAGAAATGACCCAACCTAAGCTGGTGGAGCTGCAATAATTTTTAACTCGTACTTATGTGGTTTCGTTTGAATAGCACAATATTCATATATTTTATATTAGTCGAATGGATTTCTGAACACGTGTGCTAAAATTTCACGTGTATTTATGTATGTCTGTTTTTTGTATATATATTTGTCCACGTATTTCTCGCAAATAAGACGTAAGATCTCAATGATTCGTCTTTTTATTTTGAACTTTGGGACCGTACAAGTTTCATCAAAATTGCTTCGGTTCAGAAGCTTTATGGATATAAACAATTAAAGTTAAACAGACATAAAAAAATGAATGAAGAAAAAAGAAACAAAACCAACTTCAAAAGCTCCATAAAAGTGAAAAATAATTTAAGAAAAGGCTATTAAAGTCGGTTAGTTAGACGAATTACCTACAGAAAACTTGCGCCGGACTTCTAAAAACTTTCTGGAGTATATATTTTGAAATGTTAAAGATAAATTTGGAAATGGGAAGAAAATTTCAGTTCAGTAATATTCTCAATATTCAAGGTCCAACTTAATACTGATGTATGACTATAATATGATTATATATGTTTTCAGGTTTTCCCTCAGAGCTTGTGTATCATGGTTCAGCGATGTGGGAGACGCTTTACGGCATCATATTGGCATTTCCCATCGTTTGTTTCCTGTTCGTGCCAGTTTACTACAGGCTGCACACCAACTCTGTGTACGAATACTTAGAGGTAATTTAATTAATCAAATTATATCAAAATCATTAATTCAGTCTAGGATGTTACAAGTACTTGTGGAAGTCAAAACTGTAATTCTTACTTCAATTCTTACGTCAATATTATAACCTACATACAAACATACCGACAAAAGTCGTAACCCTTCCTTTTGCTTCGCCGTAGTCGGGTAATAATAGAGTAGCATGAAAGGTGTGGGTGTGTATGTATGTATGGATTCAAATACGAATTGCTGTACATACTTAAAATATGTAATAAAAGTAAATCAAATATTATTTTTTTAGCTCTCTGTGTTTCTTTTAACACCTGTATATAGGCTGCAAATTTCAGTTTTTAATTAACAAATCTAAAGAAGTCATCTCTTTATATCAAAAATTCAAAACCTAAATTTAATCTACTTTGTGCAATACAATTTCTACCAATATGATGTTACTAACATTTTTTTAGTTTAGTTTTACAGTATTCTTTCTATTATTTAACTAACAAACAAACCATTAGATCGCGGAAGTCGTGAGATATTATTTTAATTTTAACAAAATAGTACACCCATTGTTATGATTCTTAAAACAATAATTATAACAGTAGTAATAATACAGTCGCAGTGTAACAATACTGGCTTTGTATGTTTATATAATGGCAGTAATTGTGGTATGGCAACATACGATTTAAACGTTGTTTAGTGGAATGAAGCCACTAATATAACAGCGATCGATGCTCACTTCAAGAAGTCTTAGTATAATTCTATCGCGCGATAATGCGTTTCGTAAAATTTGATTGAATCATTGGAAATAGCTTTGTATTGCGAAGGTTTGGATAAGTTTTCCCTTCTAGAGACATGGCAAAAAATACGAGTAATATTGGTCCATGCTAGTCAATTTATAAACAGGGGGCCAATTGTTTAAATTTAAAATCATAAATCGCTATCACATTTGAAAGGGATTGCAATAGATTAAAAAAATTGAAAATTAACATTCAGACGCAAACAAAATATGAAAATGGTGTATTAAAATATAAATACAATTGCACCAAAGAATCATCAACCGTTATAAAAAAATCAGTTATTTATCTGTATTATGTATGTCTACCGACAATAATTATGAGAGGGCTTAAAAAACCAAGCAATATTGATCGAAAATTCAAATTTAATCGTCAACGACCGTTTAAATTAGAAATTCATAGACATTTGTTTTTTGTTTCAATAAATAAAAAGCATATAACTTACATAGCAAAAAGGTTAATGAATTTAGCGAAAAAAATTGTCGATAGTGCGGACACAGAATACCTTTACCATTATTGCATTAATAAGTGTTATCTTTGTGTTCAGATTTTTTATTACATGCATTGTCTTCGCAGTTACGTTTTGGGTCTGCGTCGGTTAGAAAATTAGCAGCGGCCACATTCCTGATTCGCCAAGTACTGAACCTCGCAGTGACAGTATATACACCTACAGTGGCCCTTCATGCCGTGCTAGGCCTTCCTCATTGGGCCTCTGCTGCCGTACTCACTGTTGTGGCTATAGTTTTCAATCTCCTTGGTGGATTATCTGCTGCTATCAGGTAGGTTGATTAATTTGAAGTCATTTTGAACACTCGATCGTTGTCCTTAAGCAACTTTCGCAAGGTGACAGACGTCACAGGATAGGTGACAAAAAATATTAATCAAGCTATTCCGTGCTTCGTAAGGCACGTTAAGTCGTTGGTACCGGCCGCATTAGTAGTCGTTAATACCTTCCAATGCGCATTGAGTCAGCGTGGAGGGTCATGGCCCATCCTCCTTAACCATCCATAAGGAAGGCCTGAGCCCCTGCAGTGGGGACGAAAAAGGGCCGATGATCATGATAAGAGTATATAACATTAATTGCAAAATAGGAGATCAGATAACTTTCAAAAACCTATAGATGAAGCAACTTTAAATCGGTTTCATCGCGTTTGTATTAAGTTTTATTGACGTTTCGGACCCTTTACGGGTTTCGTGTTCACATAAGAGTCATCATATAAGAATTGTTTCATTTATGAATAGTACGCGTGAAAATATAAGAAATCAATATTTCAAAAAACTGTTTAAAATTAATCAATACGGCTGCTATACCTATATTTGTCGCCGTTCGCAAATGAGCAAGTAAATTGAGCATGTAGACCTAATGTCGCAACCAAGACTACCTATTCTCGCTCTGCGCTATTTTCGCTTCTACATTAAGCATCGTTAGGACTTATTAGTCTTTAGAATGCCAATTACCGTGTACTCAGTATTTTGGTGTGGAGTTTGATAGATAATTAAGTTTTTTAATATTTACAAAATAACTTTCAAGGTAACTCCTGATCCTATTAAATACATATATATATATATATATATATATAATATATAATACACAACATTGAATTTATATATATATCGAATTAAGTAGAATCGGCTAGTACCACAGACAAAAATTATACTCAAAGCGTTATCATACCAGACAAGAGTAATATCACGTATTCGTATTGACGAGATCAGTATAGGTTTTTGTATCTAAATAATTTAATTTAAGTTATTTGATTTCATGATGCTTTAACGAACTGATTACTTTACTTCTAGAGCGGACGTCATTCAAACTTTAGCCATGGTGATGATTAGTGTGGCATTTATAACACAAGCAACAGTCAAAGTTGGCGGTCCGGGGAAGGTGCTCCAAGACAATATCGACGGAAACAGATTGCAGTTTTTCAAGTGAGTGTATTGTTTTATTAACTCGAATACTTCGGAAGCAAATAATACGTTGTATTCTTTAAAGTATTTAAATATTTTATTCTTAATAAAATTTACTAACACAAACAAACTCTTATCGAGTTTCTTGTTGCTTCTTCTCAACACAAGGTTTCACAATATTATAACAGATTTAATTATTAACTGAACAAAATAAACATTATTCTGGACAAGGTTTTAAACAAGAATCTTGTAGATGTAGAAATATACAAATAATGTTTAATTATTGTAATCACAAAGTATCCAGTTTATGACTTGACATAATCTAAAATGTTTTAATCTTATTCATTTTATTTGGATTACAAGATTTTTTTGTAAGACTATGGATTTTACAGAAACAAGAATACAATAACTTCATATTTATTGTAATGCCAATTTATTTTCTCTGCAGATTTACTTGGGATCCAACCGTACGCGTGGATACATTATCCGCCATCTTTGGTCAGTTATTCATGTCTGTCTCCATTTATGGTTGCCAGCAGACGTTTGTTCAGAGATACTGCTCCATGTCTAGTGAGAGTCGGGTCAAGAAGACCCTTCTCGCTAATGTCCCAGCGGTGGGCGTCCTCTTCAGTCTATCGTGGATTGTGGGTATGGCGATATACTCCGTGTACAAGAACTGCGATCCTTTGATGTCTGGTCACATTTCAGCCAAGGATGAAGTTTTGCCATACTATGTGGAAGATCAGTACGCATTTTTGCCTGGCATGTTGGGTTTATTCCTCGGATGTCTATTCAATGGTGCCCTAAGGTAAGGTTTGAGATAATATTGAATGTATAAAATAACATAAACTGAAATATTTAAAAACTTTGTCAATATAGAGTGAAAACGTTTTATGTAGGTTATAGAATATTGGGCACCTGAAATATCAAGTGCCACCAAATTTACGTTTTATAAGTGCTAGTTTTGTGAAAGTACTATCAACTCATCATTTCAAAAAAATCATAGACACAAAACTGTTTAAGATATTATAAGTACGGTTTGAGACGAGCATAACTTTACATTCTCAATTCATAAACCGGGTCTTAACGTAAGGATAGAGGTAAGAATGTATGTATATAGGGATAGAATAATTTCATAAGGTACCTGGGTCGAATATGGCCACGTTAAGGTTTGTAGTCCTTTCTTAATAATAATAAAGCTAAAACAAATTAGTTTTAGCACACATTCATAAAGAGTGGCTATTTATCTTAAAGTAAAGTTATTAACGCCTCTCACAATACTCGTGTCTGTTAGGTTTCAACTTTACACTCTTGGAAAGGAAATTTCTTATTTATACTTAGTAGTATCACCAGATTACTTTTCACATCCGATTTCTGAATATACCTTAGATCAAAGAAACCTTTTGAATGAAAAATGGTCGATATCTTTTAGAATAATTTTATCGATTTGATTTATTTCGAACTTGTGAAATATTATAGCTTATGTTTAATGAATATGCTTTTATATTCAGTTTCCTAGTTTCGAACGTGAATTCTCTGGCTACGGTTACATGGGAGGATTTCGTATCTGCAGCACAACCTTTCAAGGGTATAAAGGACAAACAGCAACTGACAGTCATCAAAATAATTGGAATCGTTTATGGTGAGTTGATATGTTAATTTATATTATGAATAAGCTGTAGGATGAAGTACTAGTGAAATGAATCTGAGAAAAAATACATTAACACAATTTTTTTTTCGAAAAAGTTTATTATTCTCATGTTTATTGATCTAGTGTTCCTCCAAGTAATCGTTTGAGCATTCAATTAGTTCATAGCGTATACTAAATCTAAACTAAATATTTATCAAGTGTGATTCAATACATATTGTCTTCTTTAGAGATGTGTTCCCGTGAGAGCTCGGCGTGTTCACATCACTTGAGTTGATAAATAACAAAATTCTCTGAACTATTTCATCGATTTCATGTACGATGTTTTATTTATAATAATCCATTTATTAAGAAAGATCATTTTTGCTAGGTTTTGACCCTCTCCCATCTCTATTTAATAAAAACAAGCCCTAGGTGGCAAGGTCGACCGCCTTTCTTCCGTGCTCGTATATCGTCTTACGTCAAACGTCTTGCTTATGGTATTAGAAAAAAAAGGAATATGAGTATGTACAAAATCGCTTCTAATGTCATATTACATTTTCCAGCGTTGGTGATAATGTGCCTGTCGTTAGCTGTGGGCATGGTAGAGGGAGTGGTGGAAGGGTCGCTACTAGTGACGTCAGCCACTTCAGGCGCATTACTCGGTGTGTTCCTGTTGGCGACTATATGCCCCGCGGCCAATGGTACTGGGGCATTATGTGGAATGCTGCTGTCACATGTACTGTGCGTGTGGTTGGCGTGTGGCAGGCTGTTGTACGTGAATGGCAGTAAAGCGACGCTGCCTACTGATATAGGGGTACGTGTGTATTCTGGCCTACTTCTTACGTACTTTTTTCGTTGACTAAAATAAAATTCATAAACAACATGCTAATAACATCAAATAACACTTAAGTACAAAACCCTGTTTCGGGTTTATCTGTGGCGGATCGGTGGAGCTCAGAAGGCCTACTCTGTTTCTCTGAGAATGACATTTCCTCTATTTTCGCAACGATAATATGAATTGGGTCAGATGACAACTTTCGTGGCCAAGTGGTTTGCATGCCGGTCTCGAGGTGTCTCCAACTATGTCTCGGTTTCGACTGTTCATCGGGTAATGACTTCAGGATCATGTTGATGCACAGTATCTGTGGCTGTACTAATATCAACGATGATACCTACTTACATATTAATAAATACATTAGTGAATACAGTAAATTTATCAAGTTAGAGCCTTCTGCCAGTTATATATAATTATCAATATTTTCTAGAAGATAGTGTCTTTCACAATAGATTGAACATTACTTTTGTTATTGTCATCAGGGTTGTGCAAACGAGACAGTGAGCATGTTTCACAAGCCGCAGCCGGTGGGACAGAATGAGACACTGAGGATGCTTGCACCGATCCTTCAAGCACTAAATACGAGTCACGCGATGCCCACTCAAAGTACCATGTAAGTTTATTGACAACCTTATGCAAAGAAAAAAATGAAGAAACACTTGTCCCTCTATTACTGTTAAAACGAGGTTTGATTTCGGGCGGAATCCAAATACTTGGTAATTTTTTGAGATTAATTGTGAATAATTTTAATTGATAATAATAATAAATAACTTTACGAAATGTTAAAACCATCCAGGGCACTCTTCAGCATTTTTATACCATACTTATTAGAAAACTTGACTTTTTAGAACTGTGGTGTAGTTAACGAGAAGTGTAGTCTAAAGTCTGTAGTACTTTTGGTGGAAGATGGCTGAAGTCAAAGACTCGGTTGTATATTTAACTGCAGAAATAGTTTTAAATTAATTTTCTGTAGGCAAAAAGTGACTTGTCACTTCTTCATAATTTTTGATGACTCGAGACAACAAGATCAGGCCACTACCTGAGCCATTTTAACCAGTATCTAATATAATTAAATGATTACAATTCTCATAATCGTTGAATGTTGTGTTTTGTGTATAATTCCAGATCCTCCGGTCTTCTAACTACGTATTCAATCTCATATATGTGGTATGCAGTTATCGGCACAATAGCATGTTTTATTTCTGGTTATATCATCGGCCTTTTGACTAGTAAAGACTCCGATATCTACGACGAAAGATTACTACATCCTTTAGTAGCTAAACTAGCTAGAAAAATGCCTGGAAAACCCAGAAAATTCTTGAATGCCAAGACAGAGAAACGCGTAGAAGAGAAAGAGTCCTCTGAGAAAACAGAAGAGACAGTAGCAGAAGAAGTTAAACCTTCCGTTGTTTTTACGACAAATGCTAGCAGACTGTTCGAAATATATGAGACAAAAAGATCGCCATCACCTTTCCCGGAAAGAACAAGATTGTGATTGGCTTTATTATAGGTTATAATACGTTCCTAACTATATGCCACGTTGGGACTCATACGAAACAAGAAGTCCATGTTAGGACGATTTATTAATTAAGGTTTGCCATGATGTCTAGACTTATAGATTGACCTTACTTATGAAATTGTCGTTATATTATATTTATAGCGTAACACTGCTATTAAAAATATCGACTGAAGAAAATACATTATTACTATATTTCAATGAAAAGGTAAAGATAAAAATAGTCAATGTACCGAGAAGGAGATTTAGTAAAATATTTTGTTATTAATGGTAATTATAAGGACAATATTTAATGTTGGATGTTACAATAAAACATATATGTATATTTAATTGACAATTAATTAAAAATACTACCAGTAGATTAATCCTACTAGGGGTGAGCAACTTTATACGCATATGATGAAACCATTCTTACTATATTCATTATTGAAAGGGTGAATAGGTTTACTTTAAAATATTTATTATTCTTGCTTGACATTCTGTGAGAAGAAAAATATTATGACGAATATAAGAAGATGACTAAATAGTATTTAATTTCGAATTCATTTTCAATTAAAAAAAAAAACAGTTATATGGAAAAGAATGAATATAAATTTTATGTGTAAACAGGTGTGAGAAAAACTTCATTAAAGTTCTAGCTTACTAAATAGAGGAAAGGATAATAAATTTTATAAAAGTATAAAAACTATATCATACATTTGATATAGTAATTATTTGATATGTGTCTCCTCAAAAGTTTATTATTATCACTGTTCATCATAGTAAGGTATTTATTTGCCCATTTGGTAGAGATATTGTTACAACTTAGGACATATTGTTACAGTATGGATATGATTGAGATACCGGAATTTAAATTTAATTTGTCAGTATAGTGTATCAAAAAATAATTACAGAATTTATTTTCACTTTCAAATTTTTAATCCATGGGTCGTATATATATTAGTATATGTTTTTGAATTAATCGATTTTTAAGTTAATAGTATTTAGTTTAAGGTCAATGGTCCAAATTACTATTTGTACCTTTATTTATTTATAAATTCTTTATACTAATATAAACAAGCGGTGCATTTTTTAAATGGATATTTATGAAATTATGATTGATCGAATGTTTTAGTAAACAGATTTTAATTGTAATTTGAAATGACGTAGATATTATGTCCATGTGATAGTAGTGTATTTTAATTGTAAATAATAGTTAAGTGCGTTAATTTTAATTATTTAAAATTTCAAGTCTTTCGACATGTTACAAATACTGTGATTAATTTTCTGTCCTTAGAAATCCACAAGGAAAGCGATACATCGGTCTTTAAGACTTATGTATATTAGTACTTAACAATTTTATAATGTCATTTATAAATATCGAATATTTTATTTAAACATGTATTGTTTTATAGGTTTCTAATGTTACGTATGCATTTGTATGTGTGATATTGATTTCAATATTACAAAATTGAATCGTGACTACATCGCTCATTTAAACCGTTAATTTATTCACAGGATGATATAATTAATAGTTAGACTATTAACTTTCTATTTATTTAGTATTTTATTTGTATTGATACGTAAGTTAATGATTTATAAAGTAGGCAAGTAAGTAGGTAAGTTTGTATGATTTTATACATTTCATTTTCACGGCTGCCATGTTAGCTTCACGGTGTCTTATATGGTTCGTCGTTCGATAATGGACCAGTTTAAGTATTTTTTTTTTGTCTGTGTATTGTCTGCAGCTGTACCACTCAGCTTCGAACTTTGATCGATGTGTCGAAATAAAAAAACTCTATATAATCTGTAAAGTTGATAACTCAACTGTCATGACTTTAGATCGACTGGTGACTTTTTGTCATAGTGACATTTTGTCTCCAGTCACCGTCTGAATCTTTGCGGTAGTGAAATCAAACTAAATATCGCCATAGCATCGACAAAATTACGTGACAATTAGGTGACTTTCATAGAAATGACAAGAGCACGGCGACAGAAACAATTAGTCAAGATGACATAAAGTCACCAGTGTGCCTGTAGTTAAACAATTAATCTATCATAACAGATTTTCAAAGGCTTAATTCTGAGAGCTCATTTAGTGCTTGAAGTTATACGATACTGGTTACGATACGATACTGAATAATAATGGTTGAGAGATTCATAAGGTTAACGGTATTTAATTACCTACAGTAAAACTAGAAAACCAAATCCAGGCTTCAAGCGGAACCAGACAAAAACGCATCTTAAACGATCAGTATATCTAAGTTTCTTATTATTTTTGATTTTTATAATTTGTAAAGTTGTTAGAAATGTTATGTATTTTTAAATAATTTTATATCATAGAGTATCACTTAATTAAAATCACTTAGTTTAATAAAAGGAAAGGATGGACATTTTTAAATATATGTATGTGAAATTTTTAATGACTTTCTTTAAATATTGAAGTTAGAACAATATACCTAAGTGATGTTTTACAATAATTATTATTGTTTATATTTGTGTTTGAAAATCTTTGAAAGACATTTTAAAATATCGTAGGTATATTGATATTATGAGAAATAAAAATTTCCTTTTAGATATTGTGTATTGTAAATTAAATAGTTCTAAACGATACATATTTATATGTTTTTTTTTTATTTTACTCAAAGTGAAATATGTACATTTTCTGTTATTAATAGTGTGTAAATGTATTAATAGCTAGGTCAATTTATGAAAAAAATTGATAAGAAATATATTTTTAAAACCCAGTTGTTGTGTAAATGACTCAAATGTGATGCTACACAGTATTACTCTAAGTTTATATTCTAATGATATTGTTTTGTGATGTTATTCGAATATTTAATTTATAAATAAATCGAGATAAATTTACTGAAGATGGCGTTTTTATATACTTTTACCTGACTACCAAAAGAAGATAACATTATGACGAATGAAGAGAATTATAGGTGTCAATCGGATATATACGGATATATTTTTAAAAATTACTATATGTAGTTTTTATAATATTTAAAGGCTCTGTTTGATTAGCAAGAAGAGAGATCAATTACGCAGTGGTTAGTGCGCTCGGTGTGCGATTCGGTTTTTAAGCAACTTTTGTAATGGTATACGATGGGTGACCAAAAATGTATTACCTTGAGCACCTCCGTGCTTCGTAAAGCAATCCGTCGGTCCTGGCTGTATCTGCAGTAATTAATAACCAATTCACACTGGGCCTGACCTCCCTATTCGTTCTGATTCGGTTTCAAAGGGAAGGCTTGAACCCTGCTGGGGTTGGAGACAATAATAGGCTAGTGTCGATGATGATTAAAAAAACCTATTACATCTAAAAGGTGGATTTATTTTTATATTATATCAGTGAGTATCATCGCTACATATTGAAAGTTCTCGACGTATTGAATAATTACGTAACGTTCGCTCCAAAAAATCCAGTGAAGCATATGTGTTCTAAGATAGAGATGATGAGTGGGTAAAAATAAAGAAGTTCTATTGAATCCGTCAATCAGATAAAACAAAATTAGATACTTATTTTTTGATTCAATCTAACGACAAATGATAATAGGCATTAAAGTTGAGGGGTGGGGGCTTTCTTAATCACAACTATGTAGAAAATGTACAAAGGCAATGTAACGATGTATTTTATTGGTTACGCAAAAATAAAAATATATGTTACATATTTTTCAATAAACTGCCTGACGGACAAACAGAAAAAAACATTGTCGAATCTACATTGAATCTCTTTAGTGTTTAATCTGTTTTTTTAACCATTGAATTATATAAGCTATACACACACCAATACACTATCGTTGAGAAATATTAAAAACTACTTTCCATTTTACTAATTGTCATACAAAGTGCACAAAATTTTATTATAATATTTTTATATAGTGTTAATAATAACTCGAAGCATTTGAACAATAACGTTCACTTTAGCGGACACGAAATTGGCGATATCAGCCGCAAATAATTGGCACTTTGCTCGTTCTTGGGAGCTTAGATACACCGAGCCTACACATAGGTACATCATGTATTTGAAATATAGTTTTTTATGTTATTCCAAACCTATAGTAACCTATACCAATTCCAAATATATATAATTGTGTGTAGTTGATAAAGTAATCATATTATCTATCTAAATAATGGATTTATTTATAGTATAAATATAGTGATTATAGACATGGTACAAAGTTTTAAGTGACAACATAAATTTGTTTTTGATTTCATAAATTGTAAAAAAATTACGTCTCTTTATTAGCCCACCACCTCATACCACCAACCACCCCTTAGTTGGGTATTCTTTCCTATCCTGAGTTTTATGCATCCGGTTCTTTCTGCACAGACTTGCCGTCAGCCCATCTTTTTAGTTATCTACCGACATTTCTCTTTCCTCTCCTTGATCTCCACTACAACTTTCTCTGATTCCATGTTCCATCCATCCTACGGCTAACATGTCCCTCCTAACGTCATTTACTTCTTGCAATTATACGTGCTATGTTGGTCAGTTTAGTATGCCTGCGGATTTTAGTGTTCGTTAAAAAATTACATAAAAAGCGTAAAACCACATTAAATTGCCCACACAATCCTTAATAGCAACTATAAACGACAGAAGGTGGAAATCTTGCTAATACTTGCATAAAATACAAAAACAGAAGTATCTTTTACAAAATGTTTAATGTGACAGATAAATTTTATCGGCCTCCGTTGTTATTTAAAAAAATGTCAAAATTCAAAGAAAAATAAATTAACAACGGAGGCGGCATACGTTGCTGTCATCTACACGATGAGTGCTGGTAAGCCAGCACTGGGGTGGGACCCCAGTGCTGGCTTACCAGCACTGGCAACTATAGCACCACGTCGTATCGGCTTCGTTTCCCGGTTCTACTTTTGTCTTGGCAGCAAGGTAGGTAACACCTCCCTTATCCATCGACGCCAAAACATGTCTGCTAATTGTTGCGGAATACGTCACTGTTTGCGCAGACACAAATCTGACTCATTAAACGAACCTATCGCAGGAAGACAAGATGACGTACCGA